AAATTTTCAGAACGATTCAAAAACTGGTTTTCAAGGAATGCCAAATTTACGAAACTTTCACAAAACTTGCCTTTTAAGCGAAACTACTAAGTGTATCTTTTTGGAAATTTGGCTATAAGCCTAATTTTTGATTCTCTACAACTTTTCTATTGACACCAAAATGGGTTTCTTTTGAAGAAAGTGCTCAAATGCTCAAACTGGGACATCTCCAGTCCACCATTTTTGAGTCTCACACTTGTCTCACACACAAACCAAAATACTACTACGAAAGAGGAATCCGCAAATTGCCTATAAAATGGACAGAAGTTGTCAATAATAATGGAAACTATTTGGAATGAGTTGATGGTTTTATTTTGAATAAATTTTAGCTCAAAGTCCCGCAGTTTTCAATTCACCAACCCAATATTGGATAGCCATCTGGTAACGATTTGATACCTATTTAGCAATTATTTGATACCTATTTGGCAACTATTTGATACCTATTTGATAACTATGTGATACCTACTGGTATCTATTAGATTCCAGTTTGGTATCTATTCGATAACTATTTGGTAATTATTTGATACCTATTTGGTAACGATTAGATAGCAGTTGGCATCTGTTTGATACCTATTTGATGGCTATTTGATACCTATTTGGTAACACTTCGATACCTGTAAAATGGCCAGAAGTCGTCAATAATAATGGAAATTATTTCGAATGAATTTATGGTTTTATTTTCAATAAATTTTAGTCCAAAGTTTTCAATTCACCAACCCAATAATTTAAACAACATGCTGAAAGCAATCGGTTAATTTAGAGTTTAAAACCTTAAAGCCAGCCTTTGCAAACAAAATCCTTGGCTTTTCCCAAAAATTTATTCGAATTAACGCGTTCAACCTTTTCAGTCGGAAATGGGAAACGATCATTCGACGAATCAATCGGATTTCCCAAGAAAAAGTATCGACGATGGAGCGATGAGACAGGTGAACAGTTGAAAGAAAACAGTGCCTAATTTCTCATTGCAACTAAATTCAAAATCGAAATCTCAGGTGAAATCGGCGCAAACAACTCCGCGAATGTCCTTCAATGGGCCTCGTTTAGTGCACAAAAACTCGGAGCAATCGTTGAGTGTCTCCGGGATCGCTATTAGACAACATCGACTGTCTGTCGGCGATTGCAGGTAGTAAATTTTGCGCAATTTCTTCAATTGCTGTTAACTTTGTAAGTACAATAAGTGCCTGAAAATTAGCTTTTTGAAGTCAATAATCAATCTATCGTAACCCAGTGTCTCAGCAATGATCTAAGAAGGATTCAATCCAAAAACTTTCAATATTTAACGTCATAGAAGGCTTGGTTTGCTTCGGTAGTGTCTTTGGAATAGTCTTATGTTATGAATAGACAAATCTGTTCAATTACAGGATGAATTAAAAAGAAAGGGATGACCTAGCTTCAAATCTTTCATCTATATCTATCTGTTATCAGCCTTTTGATCAGAGAATAGGGGAGTTTTTGAAAAGCAATCAATAACGAGAAGCTGAAAGTGGCTGTGAAAAAAAACGGTCCAGAGATAAAGGTCAACTGACTAAATCGACTTTGGCTGTCTATCTATCAGGGACGTGTGCCAGATAGTGAGCGATTGTGAGCGCACACAAAGAACGTCTTGCCAATCATTTACACACTTCTCTTTTGCTTTGTAAATGGTACAAAGAGAAGATATTCAGCTGTAAATCTGAACCCGGGGATTTTCGCGATCAGCGAATCGATTAGCACTATTCATTTTATCGGTCTTTGTCGGGAACACGGGGATCGAGACTTCAAATCTTTCAGTCCGTTCAAAAGCTCTTACCTTTAAAGAATTATTCAAATATAACTCTTAAAGCTTAAATTTATCAAAAAGAAGAAAACTGATTTCATTTTGAAAATGAACTAGAAAAAGCTGAAATAATGTTGCGTTCCAAGGGTTTTTTTTGAGCGTATCTTCTAAGCTTTTAATAAAAATCTCAAAAGCATCCGAGAATTTGTAAAACAAAATTCTCCGTAGAAACTTATCGCAATTTTCATATTAAAAAGGAATTAAACCGATTCGCGAAGCTACAGCCAAGATATAGTTCAAAAATTGCGAGACAATAATTTGCGGCCTGTAGATTGACATGGCTCAAAAAATAGAGAATTTCAAGAGCTTTTGATGGACTAAAGAACACTTAAAGTATTAGCGCTAAAGAAAATTACATTGGTTCGTAGTCATTGTTCATTGTTCATTGGTTGAAACGGACCGTGCTTGCGCGTAGTTGAAGCGAATCAACCAACCAACCACTGTAACTTTCTTTAGCACTATTATTTTAAGTGTGCTTTAGTCCATTCGAAAGCTCTTGAAATTCTCCATTTATTGAGCTATAGGTCGTATCAATCGGGCAGATTTGAGGGCAGACAAGTTAAAAGCTTTTTTAGTTTGTAGTGCCTTGTTGAATGCATAGCTAAGCTTCTTGTATGGATGCCGTATTTTCTCTAACAGTAGTGCATCTCTAATAGTAGAGTTGGTGACGATTTTACGGTTTCCAAACTTTTGCAGAAGCTCAACACTCAAATCCCCCACTAGATCTGATCGTCAGCTACATTTTCCGACCCCACATGGATCGGTTCTGATAAGCGGTTCTCGAGATTTCGAGGAATTTAGACGAGGATCAGGGTGCACTACTATTAGAGAAAATACGGTAGTATCATTTAATCATTACTAAATTTGTTAGATAAACTGGAAACGCATTAAACTTTGACTTTATATCGTTGTGATTTTGTTAAAAGCCAAATCTTGCATCAAGTTTTCGTTTAAGATAAACCGAGTTAATGATGAGAAGAAATTTTTTGTGAAAGACCTCAGGAAAGAGGCTTAATTCTCCGTCAATCGAGGAATCTTGTCCTTCCTTCTTCCCCCTTTTCTTCAAAAAGTAGCTGTTGATCTTCATTTTGTCAGTCGACCACCAATCCAAAATCCAAAAAAGATTCTTCAAGAAACTAGAAAAGGCAGAAAGAGAAGCGTCACTTCCTTTAGATTCTCCCAAAAAGAATTTCCACTTCCAAATCTAGAGACACTGATTTCTGACCACATTTTGGTGTGGATTTCTTTGAAATAAATTCACTTTTTAATATATGATAGCTGAAAATTGACTACGGGAATTTTTCAATCAAGTAAGACGATGCTCGATCAGCATTCGATCAGATCGACTTCAGTTCGTTAGGTTTACTTTGATTTTCTAGAACTGGGTTGTTCAAACGATTTGTATTTGGTTTTATTCAAAAGCCCGTCTTCCGTACAATAACAGAAATAGCTAAGTATAAGCTCTGAACAAATTTATGGACCTTCAAAGCGTGACACTCATTTAAAATGCCTGAGCCTGAGCCTAAGCCTGAGCCTGAGCCTAAGCCTGAGCCTAAGCCTGAGCCTAAGCCTGAGCCTGAGCCTGAGCCTGAGCCTGAGCCTAATAAGCCTAAGCCTAAGCCTGAGCCTAAGCCTAAGCCTAAGCCAAAGAGCCAAAAAGGCTTATAGTCTTCATCTTTGTATTTACCTATTTACCTTTGTTACTTCTAATTGCTCGACTTCAAGTGCTTATAACATCAAAACATCACTGCTTCTAACCCTTATTTTGTTCTTGCAAGATCTTCTAGTGAGTGAGTGAGTGATATGCACTTGAATCCCTCTTTTCCTCTTCTCTTTCTTTCCCAGGGTGATGATTTATCTCGAAGAAGTAAAACGTAAAGACATCAAAAGACAGCCTTCATCAATCCCCTTAGTGTTTAGTTGATTTTCTCTCAACCAATTGATTATTATACCAGTCGAAAAACCCGTCTAAGTCCGTATAGACGGACGGAGAGACTGCTCTTTTATATATAATAGATATCTACATTTTCTTTCGTAAACTTTTAGACAATGCATCCAGAGTATTTCCATCAGCATTAGGCGCTTCATTCATTCAATTTCTAAATCCTCCAGTGCTCACTTTATCCATGTTTGCGATTCAAAATTGAAACGATTCCGAGTAAAGAAACGAATCTTCTTTAACGATCTTTGTGAGGATTTCCATCAGCATTACGCTCCTCATTGTCTCTTGCCACAAATTTCTGTTATTTACAAATATTTTTTCCCAAAACAAACCCCATGCCATCATTGTTTTATTGTGGTGTTTATCAAGAAGAAATCTAGCTTCAATATGGCTCAAAGACTAGCCAATTCCATTGAGAGTAACGCGAAAAGGATATGGGATCTCTCTCTTTTTGTGGAAAGCCAAAAAAGAGATCCGTGATCTTCTTTTTGTGATGCCAAGAAAACGCTCAAGGAAATGGGGGGAACCCTCTTGCTGTGTGTTACAGAAAATGAGCTCAGTTTTTGGGGAAAAGAAGAAAGCAAAGAAGCGAATGATGTCACGCAAAGAAGCCAACCGACCGACCCTTATATGCTTTTCGACTTGGAGAAAAAAAAAGAAAATTGGGAAAGGGATTTGATTTACAATTCTTAGATTGGAGTGATTTTTTTGGTTACACTCTAGATTTTCAAATTTCAAACGGTTTTTTGAAACAGTTTCAAGCTTATACCGTAAATACTGTAATAGTACCCCACTCCCCTCGTACAGTCGCGTAGTCGCAAAAGTTTTTTAGTATTTTTAGTATTTCATCTTTTTCAAAGCGCCCGTACTTTCAAAAAATGCGCACTTAGGTATCAAAAAATAGCTGAGATTCAGGGCTATTTTTTGATATCTAAACGCGCATTGTAGCATAAACCAGTGTCGAGAAAAACTAGTTCAAAGCTAGACTATGCAACGCTCCGCACCGTCATTATGGGAGTGGGGTACTATTACAGTATTTACGGTAAGTGGATTACGATTGCTTTCAAGGTGTCTATTGTTTTGCTTATAAATCTGGAATATTCAAACTTTAACATGTTACTATTTTCAATAACAATCAAATTCAGAATTCCGGTGGAACGCCGTGGATCGACTCGGTCAAGGCTGTCGGGCAGCGTTGATCACATGGGAAACGCACAACAGAGAAGGTTTGGATAAAACAGACGCATTATTGTTCGATCATTATCAATTTCAATTATTAATAGACTGTTATTGTTAACAAGTGCTAAATGTAAAAGTTTTTATCGTGTCATTAGTTGGTTCAACTTGGATGCGCAAGCCGGGCCCTAGAATCTGTAAGCCAAGCTAGACTAGAGGGCAGGCTCAGAATTTAACTTCTGGTCCGGCCTGGCCTAGAAAGCCCAGAACTTGGCTTCAGGCTTGGTTTACTTCGGTAAAAATTGTCTTTGGATTAGCCTTATGTTAAGAATAAACAACTTTGTTCAATTACAGGATGAATTAAGAACAAAGGGATGACCTAGCTTCAAATCTTTCATCTATATCTATCCGTTATCAGCTTTTTGATCAGAGAATAGGGGAGTTTTTGAAAAGCAATCCACAACGAGAAGCGGAAAATGGCTGTGCTAAAAAAAAACCGTAAAGAAAACGGCGGGTTTTTGGCTATCTATCTATCAGGGACGTGTGCCAGATAGTGAGCGATTGTGAGCGCACACAAAGAACGTCTTGCCAATCATTTACACACTTCTCTTTTGCTTTGTAAATGGTACAAAGAGAAGATATTCAGCTGTAAATTTGTACCCGGGGATTTTCGCGATCGGCGAATCGATTAGCGCTATTCATTTTATCGGTCTTTGTCAGGAACACTGGGATCGAGACTTAGACACTTCTCTCATCAAGCACTACCGAATGTCAGAGAAGGATTTTATAAATCTCCATATTCTTTAAGCAAAAACTGAAAACAGATAGATATAGATAAAAGATTTGAAATTAGATCACTCAAATTAGAAATTAGATCAATTAGATCATTCTTTTCTTTTTAAGTAATCCTTTAATTGAACAGAGCCGAATAAATGCTTTTAAACTGGAAATGGAAAGGAGTAGTTGAAGAAATTCTTGTTCCCTATTCTGCTTAATTAGCCAGTTCACTAAACAAGTGAGTTTCAGCCCAATTAGTTTCAGTCTGGCAAAGTCCAGCAGTGCCAGAATTCGTTGTGGAAAGAAAATCGCATTAAAATCATTATATTCAAAAGCCAGTAGTTGATTGGTTGAGTATAATACTCTTGTATTGCTTAAATAGAAAAAATAATTTTCTGAAAAGCAAAACCCAGCTATTTTCTTAATCTTGTTTGTTGTTTGCTTGTTTCTTGTTTCACTGTTTCACTGTTTTACTCAAAAGCTTGTTTCACTGACTAATATTTGACTAAATACTTAAAAAACCCTTTACAAAGATGTATTTTTGTTGAGTTTGTTGAGTTTGAACTGATGGTTGTTTTGCCCGTTGACCCAATGAGATCACAAGGGGGAATTCCCCTGGGAAGTTTGAGAAAGAAGGGGAAAAGAATGAAAAGAATGAAAAGAAGGGCACCTAAATTTGCTTGCTCTTTTGAAGAAATCATCGTCATCTAGGAAACTTTTTCCCTACTCAGAGAAAAGACATCATCAATTTTGTTCCGTTTTAACAACTAGCACTTTCAACTGTATAAGACTCCACTTATTCAAAATATCCATCCAAATCGAGCCGACAGAGCCGAGAAAGTGAGTAGTGATTGTATTGATTCTAATAGAAAACGAATCTCCAATAGAAGACCAGACTCTAATATTAGATTGGCCGAAAAGTCTTTGAACAATTCATTTAAAAAGCTATTTAGAAATAACCGATTCACTAGTATTATAGGCTTTATTATAGACTTTTCTTTCTTTTTATATCCAAGAAAATCCGAGCGCAAAAACTCGTTTCCTAAGATTTGCCTCATTAAAAAAACCTAATATTTTTCCATACAAGATCTAGGAAACTTTTCCCTTACTTGGAGAAAAGACATTAGCAATTCTGTTTTATCAACTAGCACTTTCCGTTCTATCAACTAGCACTTTCAACTGTATAAGACTCCACTGATTCCAAATATCTATCCAAATCGAGCCGACAGAGCTGAGAAAATGAGTAGTGATTGGATTGATTCTAATAGAAGATCAATCTCCAATAGAAGACCAGACTCTAATATTAGATTTAAAAAGCTATTTAGAAATAACTGTTTCATCTAATGACCTAAGATTTGCCTTATTAAAAAAACCTAATATTTTTCTATAAAAGATCGTCATCTAGGACACTTTCCCCCTACTCAAAGAATTGATTGATTGATGAGCTTTTTAAATCTAATATTAGAGTCTGGTCTTCTATTGGAGATTGATCTTCTATTAGAATCAATACATCATTGATTCGGTTCCGTTTTATCAACTAGCCAAAATGTTTTGTTTTTTGTTTTGTTTCTGGTTTTTTGTTCGGAGATACGAACTCGATCAGTCAAAAAGGGCAACGACTTGACTCGATACTTTCATCCAAAGAAACCGATTTTCGTGTTAATAGAAAAAAGAAAGAGCTGAAAAAGTTAGGTTTATACCTAAATTTTCAAAACAATCTGTTCAGCCAATTCCTTTATATTATCTTTTATCGACTTTTACGCGAAACGAGTTTTTGCGCTCGGATTTTCTTGGATATAAAAAGAAAGAAAAGTTTATAATAAAGTCTATAATAAAGTATATAATAAAGTCTATAATAAAGTATATAATAGTATATATTAGGTTGTCCAATAAGTAATGCGTGTTTTGACACGATTTTCAAAATATCACAAAATTAACAAAAGAGAACTTTATTAATCGATATATTCTCCACAACAATCAACAACATTTCTCCATCGTCCGAGCAAAGAGTGAAGTCCGTCATAATAGAATGAAGCTGGTTTCGATGAGTAACATCGAAATAAGTAACACGCATTACTTATTGGACAACCTAATAATAAAGTATACAATAAAGTATACAATAAAGTATACAATAAAGTATACAATAAAGTCTATAATAAAGTCTATAATAAAGTCTATAATAAATTCTATAATAAATTCTATAATAGTATACAATAAAGTCTATAATAAAGTCTATAATAAAGAGATAGAAAAGTGTATAATAAACATCTTTTATTTTGTGCAAATCGGGCCGTGTATCAAATGTCCGATAGCCTTCAAAAGTCCCCTAAACTACCCAAGAGCCAAATATTCATATAAAGATAGAGTTTACGTGTTTTAATCCAAAACCCAAGCACTAGATTCTCGTTTAGAAAAACTTGAAATCATTCTCTTTTAGAGTGAGTCGAGCGAACTTGAATTTTACCGGAGAAGGAGGTGACGGAGGAATGAGCATTCAGGAACATCTCAAGCTCACACCGTGTGGTTTTTCTCTTCTTTAAAATTCTATTTTCTTCAAATCAACTTGCATCAGATTCCCTTGACCTTTAAAATCCTTTCCAGATATCAGTCTCAACTCCTCCAAGCAACTTGGTCAAAAATTCGTCCAAACAGCGCAACTTTCACGCAAATTTTCAAGTAAACTTAACTACAAACTATCTATTTTTATTTTTTTTTGCGCAGATTGCTCTGTTTCAAATCAACTCTGGCACGTGAGATTTTCCAGAAATTGAGTATTGTTGAAGGATTTAAATCGGATGGAAGATGTGATCTGAATATGCACGCCAAGGTTTGCAATAGTAGTTTTTTCAGAGCAACTTGGCAGATCAGGGTTAGCCTGGCACGCTAAAGCTTTTATGGGTTGAAGCTGGGAATTTAAAAAATGGTCGGCGCCGTAAAAAACCCCGTAAATTTGAGTTAACGGAATTGATAAGATTGATAAGAAGTCGTTAAATGCCGTTGACATAGCTAACTTTGAGTCTTCATCTTTAGAAATAATTCTTGCTTTTAGATGCTTTGTGATATGATGGATTCAATCATCAGTGATCTCAATCAACCATCGAAAAGTGTTCAAGTGAATGAATAGAATGAATAGAATGAATAGAATGAATAGAATGAATAGAATGAATAGAATCAATAGAATGAATAGAATCAATAGAATCAATAGAATGTATAGAATCTATAGAATCTATAGAAAATCAAACTATCTCTCAAATTTAGGCCAAATGTACAGAGATCGGCGTCTCACATCACAATGTAAACGAGACATCAGCCGGCGCTTTGTGGGAATCACTTGGGGAATGCATGGCTGAGGTTTGCTTGAAATTTCTCCACTATACAATAATGATTTCAGGTGATCACCAAAGTGGATTGTGTACGATCAAAAAGAGAAGCTGGGAAAGCCTGGATCACCGTTATCTCCTTTATGGTAAGCCTGATTTTGCTAATCCTACCAAAAAAGTTACCAGTTTCCAAAAAATTCACAAGCTTGAGCGAATAACTTGGTTCAAATTTGAATTTTTCTTGCTAGGTATTTGTTTTTTAGAAACTAAATGTCATTCTGCATTTGCACATATAAATTTTGATTATTTTGACATTATTTTGACTAAATGACTGGACTAAATGACTATTTATAATCCTAAAAAATGATCATCTATCCAGCTTTTCTGGATAAACCTTTAAACACTTTTTCTACTATTATTTATAAACAACAAATTCATCAATTAATTTATAATGCTCTCCATTAGAAAGGCCTAAAATTTCTCTACAAAATAAGCTTTGAAATCTTATGAAAATGTTTTGTCTATGACTTTTTATAAGACTGCAAAGTCGGGCGACAAGGCGACAACTTCAAGACGCAATTTAGACGCTTTCGTCCACAGAAACCTATCTTTATGTTAATAGATAAAAAATAGAGCGCAGAATGTTTGGTATATAGCCGAATTTTCAGAATAATCTCTTCTCATTTCTTTGTAGGCAAACGAATTTCACGAATTTCACGAATTTCACGAAAAACCCTCGTTTTTACACTCGAATTTGCTTGAAAAAGGACCGAAATTGCCCTGAAAAGATCGAAAAATAAATAAGAAACATTTTCTATTCAAAGGCACTGGTGTCATTTGTCATTTATGTAGAAAAAAAAAGTGTGTAAAGACTTATCGACCAACCTAAAATCCAGTCGAAATTATGGAATCGAAATAATTTTCATATGTGAAAAAGCAAAATTGAATCTATTTTCCGGAAAAAAACAAAGAACTAGCAAAAATTTGAAATTCGAAAGAAGCTTTTCCCTCAGGATTGCGAATTTTTAGGTGAAACTAGTAAATTTTGGTAGATCTAGCGAAATCTGGGCTCGAGCTATTTCTCTCAGAAATCTCACTGTCGCTTTGTTGAGCCGGGTTCGACTCCCAGCTGTGTCATGACTTTTGCTTTTTAAAAAACAAAATATTAGATGCACAACTACATAGAATTCTAAGCCTAACCAACTAAAAAACTTGGAAATCGGCCCACTCGCGCGTACAGAGAGACGAACAGACAGACGGATGGACAGACGGAAAGACAGACGGACAGAGAGACGGACAGAGAGACGGACAGACAGACACTATTCTTTTATATATATATAGTCGACTCTCTTTATAACGGAATAGAAGGAATCAAAAAATTTTTCCGTTATATAGAGTGCATTTTTATATAGCTTAGCGTTGGCCGGGACTAAAATTCCATTCCATTCCGTTATATAGAGTTTTCCGCTATTCTGTTATAGAGATAGGATTTTGTTATAGAGATAGTCAACCGTTGGTAAATATCTAAGATGCTTGAACGGCTGAAAGAATTTAAAGTTAGTTATGAAAGGGTAAAGTTTCTTTGATATGATCAAGGGAAAGATTCTTGAAATGTTCAGGATCAAGAGTAGAGATAAATTCTCAATTTTATATAAAAGATTACAAGAATATCATAAAAAATGAATAAATAACAAGAGATGTTTCCAGGTGGACGCAATGAAAAACGGTTACATGGATGAGTTCCGTCGACATCACGTCTCCCGAAATTCGGTCACTCGACTCAACGAGACTCGAGTGAAACAATAAAAACCCAATACAATACCCATTTTTTCTCATTTTTGATCTCAAAAAGCTCAAGGATCTCTTTAATTTTCGTCGTTTTCCGATAATACGGGCCCGTCCTATAATCCTGTTTTTATTTCTCTCAAAATTCTCAATTTTATATAAAAGATTACAATGTCATAAAAAATAATAAAAGAATACATTTAAAAATCATTTTTATATATAATAAAAGAATAATCTTTAAATATATTTAAAGATCTGATCATTTAAAAGCTTTTTCTTCATATCGTTTATCTATTTTTTTGACCATAAAAGCTTGTTGATCAGGAATTTGGTCAAAGCATTTGGGAATCATGTATTGTTCGAAAGCCGATGCCGAGCCTGGTTCCAACGCTTTCGGAATGGTGATGAAAGTCTCGAAGATCATGAACACCGACCTCAAGCGGTAGGCAACGATGTTTTGAGGGCTGCAATCGAATCGGATCCATGTCAAACGACGCTTGAACTTGCTCAACAGTTTCTATCTTCAAATTCTACCATTGATGAGCATCTCCACGCCATTGGAAAAGCGATGAGGTACGGGAAATGGCTTCCTCACGAGTTAAGCCTAAGCCTAATCCGGGAACTGGCTGAGATCCAAAAAATGAGGGTTCAGCCCAAACCCAAATAGACTTAGTGCGAGGCACTAGCCGCTAGCCTTCGCACTAAGTCCAAGCCTAAGCCTAAGCCTAAGTCCAAGCCTAAGCCCTTTTCGGCTCGTATATATCCGAACAACCTAATATAATAAAAGAATAATCTTTAAATATATTTAAAGATCTGATCATTTAAAAGTTTTTGTCTTGGCATCTTTTATCTATTTTTCTATTTTTCTTTTGACCATAAAAGCTTGTTGATCAAGAAAACAATAATAAGGGAAAAACAACAATAAGGGATTAAAAATATTGAAAATATTATTGTTTAAAAGATCAAATGTTATTTATTTTTTTAATCAAAATGTAAATAAAGCAAAATTTGATATAAAAGAGAAGTTTTTGTTGCTGAAAAGTAAACACAACAAAAACAACGACTCTTTTTGCTTAAACAAATCGTTTTGTTGATCATTTGAGGCTATTTTCTTTACAAATTTCCCCATATATTCCTTCTATTCTCTTCAAAATTAAAGGAAAATGAAATATTTCATTCTATTCTTTTTAATTTCACTTCTTCCCGTGATTATGGTAAGCTTTTAAGCAATATTTGCTCAAAAACAAATCACCTGTTTAGTCTTATTTTTGATTTCATCTAGAAAACGGCCTTTTTTTGACTATCCAAAAACAAATATTAAAAAGCATTTTTGGCATTACTGTGCTATTCGTTTAAGGCAAACTATTGCAATAGTGATGCGGATTGTGTACAAATGACGGGTGAAGCGTGCAAAGATCCCAGAGCAATCTGTCAATGCAATGGTGGTACATTTTGTACACTCAAAAAGGTGATATTTCTGATTGAAATAGTTGATATTAGTTGTTATTAGTTGATATTATTTGATATTTGATATTAAACCACTGATTGAATATTGAATATCATTGAGATTGAAACACTGATTGAAACCAGTTCGGTGCTACAGTATTGGGTTGGTGAATTGAAAACTGCGGGACTTTGAACTAAAATTTATTCAACATAAAACCATCGATTCATTCGAACTAATTTCCATTATTATTGACGACTTCTGCCCATTTTACAGGCAATTTGCGGATTCCTCTTTCGTAGTAGGGTTTTGGTTTGTGTGTGAGACAAGTGTGAGACTCAAAAATGGAGGACTGGAGATGTCCCAGTTTGAGCACTTTCTTCAAAAGAAACCCATTTTGGTGTCAATAGAAAAGTTGTAGAGAATCAAAAATTAGGCTTATAGCCAAATTTCCAAGAAGATACACTTAGTAATCTCGCTTAAAAGGCAAGTTTTGTGAAAGTTTCGTAAATTTGGCATTCCTTGAAAACCAGTTTTTGAATCGTTCTGAAAATTTGGATATAAGCTTGATTTTTGATTCTCTACAACTTTTCCATTGACACCAAAATGGGTTTCTTTTGAAGAAAGTGCTCAAACTGTCACATATGACAAGAGCCCGCAGTTTTCAATTCACCAACCCAATAGTTCAGGGGTGGGGCGGTTTGTAAACACTTTTTCAAACCCTTCACTAGTTTTAAAAACTTTTTCTAGAGTAATCAATTACGCGAAAGCCATTAAAAGCATTTTTAAACAATTCTGAACAACTTTTATGCAAGTTTGAGCAAGATTTCCGAGCCTTACTGTATTTCCATTGGATTCGAAGGTGCGGTAGTGAAGAAGAAGCGGCTTCATTCACTCCCACACCTTTGAATCCAACGCAAGAATTTAGGGACAACCCCCATAGCATATAGAAGTAAAAATAGAAAAATTGTTTTGTAAAGAAAAGAAATATCTATTCAACTTTATGGTACAAATCGAAATTTCACTGTTGTAACGTTTGATTACACGGCACGAATGAACAAATTACATTGACATAATGCAAGCTTTGATAACGTTAAAAGTTAAGGTTAGAATTTGGAACGAAAAATCGAGTTGTACTGAGTTTATTAGCTCGTTTTTGTTCAAAAGGGTAAAACTGGGTATCCAAGCAATTTTCAGAAATGCGATCCATCCCAACAAGGAAGCGATTGCCCCAAGAACAACGTTTGTGCTCTCTATTCACCGGTTAGTTTTAAAACACTTGCGACGATGGTCGGGAGCAGCCGGGACGGCGTTTGTCTACAGCCCAGAAGGTCCGGGTTCGACTCCCCGCCTCGATCCAACTTTGGTTTTTTAAAATTTGTTTTTAAATGACACAACTACAAGATATTCTAGTTTTCTAAAGAAGCTTTAGCTTGATTAGTCAAAACATGGCTGAGAAAATGGCTGTGCAGACAATAGACAGACAGACAGATAGACAAACAGATAGACAAACAGACAGACAGATAGACCGACAGACAGACAGATAGATAAACAGACAAACAGACAGGCAGACAGTTAGACAGACAGACAGACAAACAGACAGACAGTTAGACAGACAGACAGACAGACAGATAGACAGACACTGCTCTTTTATATCTATACATTGGATTTATACAACCCACTGGTGGCCGTATCTTCGTGAATTTGTTAAGTCCTTTCAAGAATTCAGTTATATTTACAAATCTCCTTTGATTTATAGGATGATGCTTACTACTGCCGACGACAAATGAAGCGATCGGTTCGCAGTTTGAACGGATGGATTTTTGAATAAAGTTTTGACTAAAAAAAATGAAAAGACATCTCATTTTGTAAACTATCAAATGTTGTTATTTTCTGATTTGAGAAATTGGGGAGCGAATCGATGAAATCGCACAAACAAACGCTGGACGGCTGGAGGGCAAAATTCGTAGATAAGATTATCGGTGACTTTGACCGTTTTCATTCCATTTTCCATAAAATATTGTCCTTTCTTTCAACATTTAGTTTTTAAAGACAAAGAGCTTTACTTTTAGATGAGACCTTAAAAATGACACGTAAAATCAGCTTTAAACAAGCTTTTTAGCTTCAATCAAGCTTTAAACAAGCTTCAATTTTAAATTAAAAAATACCTATGAATCTATTGTGTTTATGCTTTTCGACCTTTTCAAACTGATCTTTTATATTTAGAAATCGTTTAGAAATCTTTTAGAAATGAAGCTACTTCTACTACTTGGTCTTTTCCTTTTCACAGTTTATGGAACCTCTTTGCGGAGGTATGAATTAGAGATTTTTCTCTCCTAGCCACTCATGCTTTGTGGTGTATTGCGAAATCGTTTGTCTCTTGCTCGAAAGGTCGAGGGTTCGACCCCGACCAGTGATTGCTATGATGACCTAATCATTGCCTTACCAAGTAAAAGTGAGGACCCGTGAATTTCTGAGCATTTTTGCCGAATTTTAATCATAAGAAAGGGTTCAGTTTTTTTAAAAAAGCAACAAAAGGTCGTGGTGGACTTGAAATCTTTTAGGGGACGACGAGAACACAAAATGGACAACTGGATGACCGAAGAGCAAAAAGCAGATTTGGCTGAAGTAATCTCAAAACAATTCAGCTAGTCTCGAAAAAAGAAAGAACAAATTCAGCTGAAGAAAAGCGGCTCTCTTGATGAAATGAAGAAAAAGATCATGGAAATGTACAGTGCGCTTCCGGAAGAGAAAAGAAAGGAATTAGATGCACATTACAAACAGGAATGTGCAAATTGGGTGAAAAAGGTGAGTAGAAAGACATAAAAAGGCTTTGACATTGCTTTCAGGTGGCCACTCAAGAAGAAATGGCTGAGCTCAAATCCCTTCATGAGGCCGGGAATAACAAAGAAGTTTTGGCAAAGTAACTTTTGTTCAACATTAAAATTAACATCAACGAACCTGAGCCTAAGCCTAAGCCTAATCCAGAAAATGGGGGTTCAACCCAAACCCAAATAAACTTAGTGCGAGGCGCTAGCAGCTAGCCTTCGCACTAAGTCCAAGCCTAAGCCTAAGCCTGAGCCTGAGCTAAAACACTTTAACATGTTAAAGTGTTTGTTCGAGATCAGGGTTATAAATTTCAAGATCTACTAGAGCTAAAGTCAAAGTTTTCTCAATAGGGATCTGGGTCCGATCCCTAAAACCCTTAAATTATTGAAAAAACATTCTAATCTTGTTTGCAAAAAAGACGCGGGTCACGAAAGGCTCCGAACCCACGGGCATAGGTTCCGAAGACCACTAGACTATCCACTAGGCCACCAGGTCAACTTCTAAGCCCGACGAAGGGAAGGGTTATATCACCAAGCTCCCAATTTTCAAACGAGTTTTTCAAAGCTTGATTGGCTCATTGGATTGCTTTTAAAACTGTGTTTTGTTCAGAATTTTGCGTCGAATCCGATGCATTAGGTTTCGTAGCTTAACTCGATGCTAAATTGAAGCAGTTCCCTAGTGAGAAAAATACGAAAAACTTTAAATTGCCGGCAAAAAAGGATCGACAGATGTTTCCCTATTAACA